ATTTCTCAGTCTTGCAGGAATCATGACAGGTTACTCCTTCCCTGAGTTTATTACAAGCATTTTCATTGCCAAATTTCCCTATTTCTCATCAGAAAATGTTTGTGTGGGAGCTTTCTATCTGGCTTTAACAGAATTATGACTTAAAAAATATTAAATTTCAATCCTTCAAAAGCTGATGAAATTATCAGGGAGGGTTGCTATAATAAATCTTTGTGTACCAGTATAACCTCAATCAGTCCTATTTTTATCTGAGTAATAGTGAATTTTAGTGAAAAAATATATACTTTATGCCAGAGAATATGGAGAATTATTTATAGCAGTGCTATTGTATGTCATAACTGAACTAGGTAAACATCATAGTTCTCCGTAAACTGCATTTCTGTTTTGAACAAAGTCTCATGAAAAACTACACTTCAGGTTTCAAAGAGCCAGCACTTTCTAAAGGCTTTAAACTGAGCATTTCTTGGAAGCTGGCTGTTAAGGTGTACTTCTTGCCAACCTGTTCTGTACTAAATGTTAGTGGTGGTGTTGTTAATAGTGCAGCAGTAAATGAGAAGATCATGGCTATGTTTGTGGCCAAGAGCATTGCATATGCTATCCACCTAAAGTCACTCCATCTTTTTATCCTTCTCTCTCTATAAAATAATGTGTATTAGATAGATGCAGATGTTTTTTATTCTTGTTTTTTGATCAAGTTCATGGCTTCTGCATACTGATTGTTCTATTATTTGTTCACAAATTGCAGAGATATATGAATTTCCATTGGTGGAATACCTAATTTCTCCTGTTTTGTTACATTGGCATATTATGACAATGACTTTTGCCTCTTCTTCTGCAGTTCTACATTTTTTTAAGCATGCTGGAAAGTTCTTCTTGGACTTTAGGACAGTTGGTTGAATAGCTCCCTCATAAATATGATGTGATTTATGGTCCAGATTTACGCTCCTCCATTTGCTCACACCTAGAAGTGAATCTGCAGAAGTGCATTACAGATTTTCAGAGGTGGTTCTGAAATGTCTTTGAAAATAATGCTCTATCTTTATTCTGTGCAATCTGTAGGAACTGTAAACTTGCCTTGTTCATATTGACGTTTTCTCCTGAGAAAAAATAGTCTTTTTTGTTTATTCTTCCTTTCTGACAAGGATTTATTTTCAGTTAAATTCCATTTAAATTTTGATTGCCTACATCTTCAACTGTTTAGACATCTGAATGATACAGCATCCCAAAACTGATTTCTATGAATCATTGCCATCAAAGACATTAGTACACCAGTGAAAATTACTGCTACAGAATCAGTGCCAAGAGCAAAAAACATGACAAGATGCTTCTTCCTCTCCTGTTGAAAAAGGCAGTGGCTCTGTAAACTGCTGCAATGAGAAAAGTGGTCTAATCATGGTTCTGGGAAGATTATGATGATTGAAAAGAACAAAATTAAATGAAATTTCAGGGTTGGTGGGAGTATTTTAAACTGATAGAGTGTAATTACTCCCCAGCTCTTAAGCATGCACCACACTTGAAAGCACTGCCTGAGAGCGATTTTTTTTTTTGCTTGGCTCTGGCTATATCATAGAATCATAGAACAGCCAGTGTTGAAAAGGATTCATCTGGTTTCAACCCCCCTGCTACGTGCAGGGTCACCACCCACCAGACCAGGCTGCCCAGTGCCACATCCAGCCTGGCCTTGAATGCCTCCAGGGATGGGGCATCTGCAACCTCCTTGGGCAACCTGTAACAAACAGTGTGTCACCATGCTCTGAATGAAAAACTTCCTGCTAAAATCTAACCAAAACCTCCTCCGTCTCAGTTTAAAACTATTCCCTCTTGTCCTGTTACTGTAAGAGTTTATGTCAACTATCTTTCCGAATCAGCATAGTGAATTTGTGCTACATGGAAGAGGTTTCCCAAACAGTGGTGGAAGCCCCACCGCTGGAGACATTAAAGGCCAGGCTGGTCTGTGCTCTGAGCAGCCTGATGTAGCTGTAGGGGTTCCTGCTTATTGTAGGGGAGTTGGACTAGATGGCCTTTTAGGGTCCCTTCCAACACATGGTTCTGTCCTACTGTGATTCTGTGATTATGCAGATATTACCCCTTTCATCTATAATTAGATTTGAATGGACTTAAACGAGATTATGGCCTTTACCTGCTTGATTTAGTGTTCATCATTTACTCTAGTCAAAGGAAACTTTTGCACTGACATACAAAGGCAATTTCAGGGAGATTAATTGTGGGTATCAAGTGGCACCTTACTCAAGTTCTGTCAGATGGTGTATGCTGTGAGGAAGTGCAGCAGTGGGCACTCTTTACTGGGATTCATGTGTAAACATCATAGCCAAAATCTTTACAGTGAGTGACATGTAAGTTGCTGTACTCTGGAGCTGACTGCAGCACCATGAATGGGGCTGCTTTCTTCACAGTGTAGCATCAGAAGGAAGCCAGGCTGGAAGAATGCATCAGGATTTTTAAGCAACACTTTCCTCAGATTTCTATGCAGGGATCTTCTACTTTCAGAGCCTTTGCGATCCATTAATTCTTAAATTACTGGGGCAAAGCCCGCAAAGTACTAAGGATCTTCTATCATCCTTGATTTGCCTGGTAGATAAGGGGTCCTTTATGCCCAAATAAGCTACTGCTTTTTTATAAAATGATGTGTTGAACTCTTGTTCTTGCCCTGTTGATTTTCACTCCTTTGTTTGAAAACAAAGTTGCCATATAATTAGAATATATTACTTCCAAACCTAAATCTGTATTTCTCTTATGTACACAAAGTAGAGCATCTTGAGTTGTTTTTCTTCACAATTGCCATAGAAAAAAATGCATTGAAAATGCTTTTAATGCTAAAAGAGCCGGTTCACATTGCACACTGGGAACTGTGCTTCCTGCTGAAGTACATTAAGTAAAAAAGATTTTCAGCACTAGCTTCATTATAGCCATTGAACAGTTATAATAGTTTGTGTTTTACTAAGCTCTGACTTGAGAAGTTTAAAACCCATAAAGGAACTCAGACACAAAGGGCCAATTAGTTCCTGCTACATCCATATACACTGAAAGGAGCTGCCGCCGTCACGAGGTTAGCCTCATGAGAGTTTTGTATGTAAGAAAGCTGCAAGGATTTGAAGGCATTTTTCCTCCCTCTTCACCAGGATTTTTCTGCAAACACTGACAAAACCTGCAGACCTGATTGCAAAACACCATGTCCTGTTTTCATTTCCTAAGTTGTTCCAAGCTCAGTGCTGTTTAAATCCAGATCTCCACGTATGATTCAGAACTTGATTGAAAAAGCTTCTAAAAGCAAAGATTCTGTCTGTTAAAATACAGAAGTAACATTGTGTAACTTACATGTTCAGGTGCCATGTACAGGTATAGAGGGGCCTGCTCTACAGTAGAACAAATGCAGGGTTTTTCCTTCCTTAAAGAATTGAGGTAAAACGTTATGCATATTAAGGGAGCATTAAAAAAATTAATTATTTACATTTAATTTTGATTATTTTTCCTCAAATCTTCCTTCATTCAGTAGTGCTCTTATTTCTCCAAGTTTCAATTCCTGCTGAAGCATTTAGCTCTTCAACAGATTATTTTTGCTTGTCATTGGTGGAGGATTTTTCATCATTTTGCTTCTTGAGGTGCAGCGTTTGATTTGTTGTACATTGAGGCTGAGGCACAAAAAGGAGACAGTGTAACAGTAATCCTAATCTGGTGGCTAAACTCATGGTTTCCTTAGAAACAAATCATAAGAAATATTTTCTATATGAATCCTCACCCAAAAAACACTTCTTAATATTAATATTTGGGGGAAAAAAAAAAAAAAAAGTGAATCTGAAACATTAGGTATATGCATAAGATCAAAGAACACTAACAAAACTTATTTGGTATTGTGTTATCTTCCTTGAGATTTTCCTTTTCCTGAACAGTTACACCTGAAGATATCACTGAACGGCACATATAGAAGGCAAATAACCAATGATTTTTATGTTTGACTGTACTTTTTAATTTGTTTTTGAAAATGATTTTCTTTTTATTATAAATTTTGTAAATATATGTCATATTCTTCTATCTTGTCTATTTATAAATAATCTTAAATTCTATACAGAGAGTTAAATCTTTATTACAGAATTCCAGAAATCTTTGTGTCTGACTGTTTGCTGCTCTGTGTTAACTAAATTTTGAAATGGCAGTAGACAAGAATTGTCCTCTTACAAACATATGTTGGTGGGCTTTTTTTTTGCTCTGAGAAACAAGTAACACAGAAGATTTTCCAAGGCAGACAGACCCGAATACCTTCTGATTAATGCCTGTCTAAATTCTTTCATTCTCTCCATTATAGCTGCAAATGTTCCTGACTTTTCCTGGTGTCTATGAGAAAGATCCTGTGAAAAAAACCTAATTTTTATAGGCATCTTCTCCTCTCTCCTACAGATGTATGAGTAGTTATTCATTATGTATTGTGAGAAATGTGATAAAGCAACAGTAACATTTATTGTTGCTTTAAAGACAAAAAATATTAGAAGCCCAACTATTTCAGTCAAGTAGCGGAGAAATAGCTAGAGCCTTACAAAAACACAGCAGTAAAATACTGCCTTTCCTCACTTTCCCATATAATATGTAATGAAACATTGTAACACTGATGTCTGATAATCCTTAATAGCTGCTAGATTACCTTTCCAAGTGACAGAAAATCTTGAGATCATATCATAAAGGATTTAAATGTCTGGCTGGCAGACACTTGATCCCTCTCTTGCCTCTGCATACGCCTGCACTGGGGCTGCCATCCCAAGTGGTAAGAAACGCACTAAGTTAGCCTTTTCTTCCTTTTTTTTTTATTAATTTATGTGTGCATATGAAATGAATGAAAGAAGTACAGGTGTAAAGATAGCATTTTTGATGTTACAAGTATGTTTTTTTCTTTCTGATATAAAAAAAAAAGAAGGAATCAAAGCAATCTAGGATCCGAATTGTGTTCCTCCGTAGGCTAGCAGTGATGTTGTGCCATTTTACTGTTTCAGATAAACCTACAGAAGAAGATGCGAGTCACTGGAGTTATAACCCAAGGTGCCAAAAGGATTGGAAGTCCAGAGTATGTGAAATCTTACAAAATTGCTTATAGCAATGATGGGAAGTCATGGACGATGTACAAAGTAAAAGGCACAAATGAGGATATGGTAAGATTAAGTCATCTCTGTATGAATATGTCTTGTGGTCCAGCTCAGTAATTTGAGCTATCTCTGGTAGATAAGCCTAATTACTTGACAGCTTGATATAGCTTTCCATGTTCTTATTTTATTCCAGAAAAAAAAATCAGTAAATTCATACTTTCTGTCTGCTAAGAATTTCTTATACTTTAATTGATGGTCATATAAATGCTGTGTCCCAAGGCTAGAAAAATCCTGTTTATTACACTTATCTAATTTTCATTTTAATTAGTTTACCAGTAATTACTCATTGCTATGTTTTCAATTTAGTCTTATTACATTGGCAGATTAGTGTTAACCCTTTAAAGCATTGAACTCATTAATCAGTGCTAATCTCCTTGCTACACAAACAGTGTCATCCAGTGAGAAGTGCTCATCTACAGTTTTTAAAGAGAGCTGTACATACAAAGCAGGCCTAAATAGAGGAATGCTTACAGGTTTAATTCAGTGCCCGCTGAGATCAGTGGGAGGGTTACAGTACACTTCAGTGGGAACTGGACCAGGCTCTTGGAGTAGAGGCGAATAATAAACGTCAATCAGTGCAGATAATTGAAGGTTAAATGAATAAGGCCTATTTAATGCAGTAATTAGACAAGAAGATGTAATTTATTGCATTAGTAGATCAGGTTCCCAGGAGTGACAAGATAGAGGCCCTGAGTCAGTGCAGGTAGCAAACACACACTGGTGCAAGCCAATGGAAATGTGTTTTGCTTAAAGATTTCCTTATTGAACAGTGGGGGAAATGGGGCATTCTCTGTGAAAAATTCTGTGTGAAATGTGGAAAGCAGATCAGAAGAGTGGATATTTCTGAAGCATGGAAATGAGCTATACCTTTAGTATAAATCTTGGTGTGTTTTTGAAACAGTTTTGTTTTTTTACAGGTGTTCCGTGGAAATGTGGACAACAATACCCCATATGCTAACTCCTTCACACCTCCAATAAAATCACAGTACATACGCCTGTATCCTCAGGTTTGCCGACGACATTGCACACTGAGAATGGAACTCCTGGGCTGTGAGTTATCAGGTGGGTTCCTTGAAGGGAACAAGAATCATAAAATCACAGAATGGCTTGAGCTGGAAGGGATTTTAAGGCCCACTCCATTCCAATGGTTTGCAGTGGGCAGGTTACCCATCCCAGATCAGGCAGCCCATCCACCCTGGCCCTGAGTGCCTCCAGGGATGGGGCACCAACAGCTCTCTGGGCAGCTGTGCCAGGGCCTCACTGCACTCTGAACAAAAAATTTCTTCCTTATTTTCAATCTAAGACTACGATTTTTCAGTTTAGACCCATTTTTCCTTGCCTTATCACTACACTCCCTGAGGAGTCCCTTCCTGTCCTTCCTATAGGCCTCTTTAGGTACTTAAGGGCTCAATCAGGCCTTACTGGACTTTAAGCAAGCACTGCATTTTCATTCCCATGGACTAAACAACCTTATGGAATACAGTTGGCAGGCAAAAATTAATCTGTTCCTACGTAAATCGTGTCACAACTATACTGATATAAGTAATAAAAGTGACAATATTCTATTGCAGTAGGACAGTAATAGTAGTAGGGTAGCTCAGTAACACTTTGTAAATCTTTCTGGAACCAAAGCTGACCTGATTCATTTCTCATGAGGGTCAGGTACATGCCAGCCTCAGAGGTATCAGTGTGCTTCAGCTGCAGCCAAACACCACTCAGAGTGAAGACAGACTTATTTTGCTGGGCTGCTTTGACAAGATTTCAGTTTAAATTTATGTTGTGGGTTTCCAGCAGAAGCAGAGATTGTTTCTTATAGCAGAAAGTAAAAGAGTAAGTGGAGCCAATATAAACCTCCTTAAGGTTTGTAGTAGCAGAAGTTATAACTCAAAAATGTAAAGCCTGACCTCTAGCTACTCTCTTCAAGAACTGTATTCCCTCACAAATTCAGTAAAGCATGTAAATTTTTTATCTTTTTCAAGAGATCAACCTTTTACCAGTGGGAGCGCTCCACTGAATTCATTTTAGAATGATTTTTATGTGACTGCCTGCTTACTGTACAAACAATAGTCATCCAATTCACGAATGATATATCAAAACAGCTGGAGTTAAATAATTCTCAGTTCTCTAGTGGCATCAAAACCAGATTCAGAAATGAAAAGTTAATGCATTAATCTCAGTGTAGCCCTTTTCCAATATAGATAAGTTTGAGAGTAAATAGAAAATTCTGTTTTGCTGCTTTAGTCTATTAGATTTTTTTTTTTTTTTTTTTTTTTTTTATGTCTTCCATTTCTGGAACCGCAATTTAGAGCAAGCCCTTGCCAGAATGACCAGGAATTGTTTTGCTCAAAGAACTGTGAAAGCTACTGAAGTGATTTCATTTCAGTGGTCTCCTAACACTTTCAAGGTCATCATTTCTTAGAACCAGGGGCAGCCAAGGCTCAGCTGAATAGTTTCAATCTTAATGAAAGAAGAGTGTACATAAAGAGAGACTAGTTCACTCTAATTACAGGTGGTCTGTCTTAAGCAGAAGAACATGCTTCCCTGAAAAGTGCTGGTCCTAGGAAAAGAATCATTGACAAAGTGACTGAGACTATGTTGCAACACCAGATCATCCTAAAAACTAATCTTTATTAAGCTAAACTTAAGACGATCATTATAGTCATTAAGGTTGGGAAAGACCTCTAAGATCATCAAGTCCAACCACAGTGTTCTTTATAATCTGTTATAGGTATATATTCTCAGAAGGACCCAAGGTCACAGCTTGCTGAAAATTGTGATCAGTGGTTGTGTAGTGGATTATCAATAAATGAGACATCAATCTTCATAGCCTTGTGTTCCTGCTTTCCCCATGCTTTCAGATCTCTGTATTGTAAATTCCCTTTCCACCATAGGATATTCATTTCTGAGGAGACACAGATTACAACTACTGCTTATTGTAATGCCTTAATTAATTAATTACTAGCAGTAGGAGCAAAGTGTAGTTATTCAGCAGTGGATGACTTTCCACAACAGTCACTCACTCATGCAATGTACTCATATGTTCACACATCTGCATTTGGCAGACAGTTGCCTTCTTGCACGTGGTTCATGTCGTATATGATTAATGCTAGTGTGTTTTGGTAGCCATGGACAAATTTGGCAAATCCTTGGTTTTCTGAGCTGTCAGTTTTTGCAGAGGAATGTTGGTCCCCAAAATTTAACCGTCCTTGGGAAACTTGCACATGTAAGTAAGTGTGCATGTATTTTTCCTCTTTTTGGCTGGTTGTTTTCCAGCAACTATTTTTCCATGTTAACAGTACCTGTACATACCGGTCACACAAACTCTAATATAAAAGCTCTTTATAACATCCTTGTTTAATACTAGGTGTCACTCCCCTTGTTCATCCTTAGTAGTGTATAATCTAGAAAGGAAAACTGTTTATTAGTAGGAAGAAAATTTTCTAAATTTTCTAATTTCTAAATTCAGTTACCATTTTTCACAGGTGGTGACATCCAAAGCATCTGAAATGTCTCACTCTTAAGATGCTCCTCTGAGCTTTGCCCCAAGTGTGTCTACGTGAGCTCTCATTAACAGGTTGTAAAAGTGGAGGAGAGTTTAATCCTTTCTCAAGGACAATATGAAGTAAATTTAAAGAACATGCAGCATAGTGGAGGTGTCCCAAGGAGTTGTCAGCATTATTACAAATAAACTCCTATGAAGGAAAGTTACCTATGGACACAAAAGTTTTATATCAGTTCAGTGTTTCTGTTGTATGTGCTCTGAGTGAAAGAGCACATGAACTATCAAAATACTCAGTCATTTCCTTTCATGCAGGGTGCCACAGGAGCTGCAAGGTGCCTGTGGTCTCTCTGGCACAAGGCTATCACATCGTTGTGCCACCTATGTGCATCATGCTTATATCTTTTGCTTCACTTTCCTCTTCCACTGACTCATAACAACTGTCTTCCTCCTCCCCCTTTGTTATCCTTTTGGGGCAGTAGAGAAGGAAGGCAAGTGTGAAATGCCATTAAGGCATGCATGCATGCACAGGCACACAAGCAGAGACATCTGTTGTTTCATATATCAAAAATAACACTTAAAACTGTTTTTGATTGATTGGACCAACACTGAAAAACAGTTTTGACAACCCTTGTTTTTGTGTCTGGAGCTCCCTTCATATTACTCAGATGAAACATTCCTGCTGAAAGTCCTTGTGATCTTGTAGTGAGACTTCAGAGCTGAATAATAAGCCAAATTCTTTTCTAAAGCAACAGATGAGTCTCCCTTATTTACACTATCATTTCTTCCCTTCTACTCCCAGGAAAATTATTTTGTTGTTTTTAACTTGGCAGTTCTCCCAGCAGGCAAGGCTACGCATTTTCTGTTTTTGCAGTGTGAATCAATTCTAAAAAGTTTATTCAAAAATGAACTCTGGTTTCTGTTTATTTCTTTCTATTCAATATGAAACATGCCCATATTTCAAAGTTAAAATACACTTATTGTAAAGAACATGGTATCATTACCTGTCTCTGATAATTTGCTCCTGCTGTTTGACCCCACTGGAGGGCTTGGACTTAGCTGCCCTGATTTGAATCCCCTATGAATCCAGATGATTCTGTGGTTAAAACAATTGGAGAAACTGAAAGTAGAACCTGACCAAAAGGCCTTTGCTAAGAGTATCAGAGAAACCAAATAAGAGTCACATCTTACAAATGAAGGTGAGCATATTGTGGAAGAAATGAACTTTTAAGAAAAAGAAAGCCAGCATTGATATCTAGCTCAAATAAAGCACAAAAAAAAAAAAAAAAAAGACAATTTTGAGGGTGTTATAAGTGGCCATACCATTCTGGTTCTATCAGAAGACACCAGCTGAGCTGGGTCATGTCACAGCAAGGAGGCCTTCACAGCTTCCCAGTGTGCTGTAAGCAGCAGAGCTGGTGGTGACTCAGGAAATGATTACCTGTAAGGAACCAGCTCAGTGGCTTGGGGTCCAAGCACCAAGTGATAAACCTATGTCTTCACAGTGATACATAAATTCAAGATCCTGTCCTTCATAATCATCACAGGGGGATGCACTCCTTGCACCAGCCCCAGTGAGGCTCACTAAGTATGGGACACGTTCTGACCCATCAGGTTTTTAGATGGGGAAATTAAAATGTTATTTAAAATTTAACAGAGATAAGTAGCTATTGAACTGAGGAGAATCACTGAAATTGTGGAATTAAAACTTCTGCAGATTTTTGACAGCTGGAACAGTTAATAAATGAGAAACCTGTCTCTTTTTATGTTCCCAGCTCCACCCAGCCATACATCCACTTTTCTGGAGCTTTACGGAGGCTTTTCTTGTTCTCAGCTACCTGACTTGCCTTTCTTTTCCTTTTATGTCTTAAATCAGGTATCCCACCTACTTTTCTGACTTCCAGTACTGCTATTATAGTGGTGCCATTCCGGATTGTCTTACCTGTTCTCAGTTTCCCTCTTCCTTCTTATGGATCTAAATGCATTTCACATATTCTCAGCCTAGCAGTACAGAGGAATATAGAGTCGTTTGTTAAATTTTTATTGTTTATATTGTTATTGTTGGCCCAGGTTGAGTTCTATTTTATTTCCACGAACACCCAGCAGGGATAAGGGAGAAACTCAAGATCTATCTTTAGCAACAGTCAAAATAAGTCAGCAAAGTGGGACAACCACCTGGCTTAAGCTAAATGAGCCTGTAACTCTATTTCTCCTACATAACTCTCTACTAATATTCTCCCTCCTTCACAGTCATTATTCTAGTCTTCTACTCTGCCAGTATGTGTGGGGGATTTTTTATTTTTGGCTGAGTATCAAGTAATTTGAAAGCGTAGAACTCAGTGCTTGTTAACATTTAAACTTCAGTAATGTTATTAAAAAAATAAACATAATGTTTTCTCAGCACACAACCACGTGCTTGATGTCACAAGGAATAAAAACATGGTAAGAATGAAGTGAATAGAGGAAATAATAGCAAATTCCTGGACAGAAAAAGAAAACCAAGATAAGAGACGAGTCATCTTTTCTGTGGGTTTCTGTTCATACATTTGTGTGGGTCTAAAATACTTTGAATTCTGTATTTTGTTTTCAATTCTTCCAAGTATTGAAACAAAATGCCTTGAATTGGCTATTTTTCATTTGTTTGTTTGTAGTTTCTCCCCAACAATACTTATGATTAAAGTCCTTTCTTTGAGAATTGCTAGTTTTCTTTTCCATAAGGGAAAACCTAAACCACTTACAGAGATAAGTAGCGTGTGTCACAGATCTTATTTTGTTCTTCCAGGTTGCTCTGAACCCCTGGGGATGAAATCAGGGCATATACAGGACTATCAAATTACTGCCTCCAGTGTTTTCCGAACGCTCAACATGGATATGTTCGCTTGGGAGCCCAGAAAAGCCCGACTGGACAAGCAAGGCAAAGTTAATGCCTGGACCTCGGGCCACAATGACCAATCCCAGTGGCTGCAGGTAAACTTCCACATAAAATTTCACAGGCATTCGTCTTCTTTGTCATTCCAGCATTCACTGGAAGAAACCTGGCACACTGAAATTATCTTTGTCTAATTGAGACTGCTCAAAGATGCGTCAAGATCAGTCTGACAGTAGCAAGATTGATTCAGCACATAAATTCATTATAAAGCCACGCACAAGGGATGTTTTCAGCCTGAGAGTGATTTATACAAGTCAGTAGTAGGCTAATGTGAAAGACTGCAATAAATCACAGTATGAAGGCTATTTGACCAGTTGCTGACACATTTACATTTTTTGAACTGTTGAAAATAGCAGTGCTTTGAGCCAGCTGCCAGTTTGTGGTGGAGTTCTCAGCAGGAAGCCTCAATATTGCAAGACATGTGGTGCTAACCCCCTACAATCTTTCCACATATAAATTATGACATATTAGCTTTTTTACCTACAGTTGCTAAGCAATTTAGCAATATGATTACTGTCTTTTCTCCAAGTTTACACATACACAGCAAGGGAGAAGCAGTTGCCTCATCTATTTAACATTTAAATAACTGTAGATCTTGGGATTTACAGAAAGTTTTTTAGAGGAGCTTCTGGAGTGGCGGAAGATTTTGTTTTACAAGGATAAAGCAGATGAAAATGTTTTTTACAAGTAAGAGAGAGGCAGTTTTATCACAGCCAGTGTTAGCCCTGTCAGTGATACCAAGAAACCAAGATTGTGCAGAGGCAGTGCAGAAATATCCTGTGGTGCATTATTTCTCCGTGGGCGACAGTGGATTTTTAAATACAGATGGAAAAGAGTTGCAAAGTTAATTCTTACATTCTGTTCTGTTCTAAGTCTTGCTATGTTTGAACCTACCTGAACCTGCAAATTGAACTTGGACTCCTGTGACCACTTGTCAGTTCTCCGCAAGTCCTTTAGCGGGCATATTTTCTTATCTGCTCAATAAGAATGTTAAGAAACATTTATATATTTTTTTTCCAAAAGAATTCTTATTTTGAAAAGGAAAAACAAACAAAACAAAAAAAAAAAAGAAACAGGCATTAAAATCACTTGTTTTCTCACTATTTAAACTGGTCATTAACTTCCTTATACTGCAAGCTGATTTTTCTGAATTCAGTGTGTGAGTACAGACAGACTCAGATACTTCAAGACGAGGTAAAAGATTCTGTAAGAAAGACATGCCTGTCATTTAAATTTGTCTGCTCAATGTTGTTCTGTTAGCTGGTAGCTCTCTAATTTTTTTCTTTAAAATCCAGAGCACGGTATTATAAGCTTTAGCACTCTGACTACAATTTTATCGTCATGCTTCTTTCACAGAATTTAGTCAAAAAACATTTGTAAGAAAAAACATGTGGAAGCAAACTTATCTCTACACCCTTTTCCCTCAGCCATTAAATATTACAAGGGGTGATCCCAATAGCAATTCCATAGTATCCTAAAACAAGCTTAACGTAAGACATAGGTTTCTGGATTTCACTAAAGTGGCTGTCATACCAATGTGCTGTTTCAGTGTTAGCTTTATATCCCTTTTAAATTTTCTCTGCGTGCCTTATTTGGTTTATCTTTTAAAATTTTCTCTAGAAAGCCAATAGAATTGAGTATAAGCTACTGAATTCCTTCAAAAATTATTGTTGAAATATGTAGTATTTGAATAACTTGAATATCTCTGTTGCATCTTGTAGTAATCTGGGAGAATCTTACCTAAATGCCATTGTTATCAACCATTCCTCTCCTTAAAAGCGTGTGAGCTGATAGACATATCAGAGAACCTGCTGTGATGATGGTTGCCGAGAGGTGATTACATCATATGCATAAATGCTTCTTGCTGCTTATGGGCAGCTTACAGAACTTTTGGATGAACCCTAGACTTTATATAATCATAGAATGGTTTGAGTTGGAAAGGGTCTTAAGGACCACTTACTTCCTGCCCTCTTGCTGTGGGCAGGGCTGCCACCTGTCAGGATCATACTGTCCCAGACCCAATCCAACCAAAATTTGAATGCCTCTGGGGTGTCCACAATTTCTCTGGGCTGTCTGTGCTAATGCCTCACCACTCTCATTGTGAAGAATTTCTTCCTTGTATCTAATCTGAATCTACTCTCCTTTAGTTTAAAGCCATTACCTCTTGTCACTGTGTGCTCTTATATAAAGTCCCTTTCTTGTAGGCCACAATGCTGGAAGGTCACAATGACATCTGCTTAGAGCCATCTCAACTCTCTCACCCTTTCCTCCTAGGAAAGGTGCTCCAGCCCCCTGATTATCTTCATGGCCCACCTCAGGACCCACCCCAAACTGCTCATCTTGTACTGGGGACCATAGAGCAGGAGACCTCCCCACCTCCCCTACCTCCTTATTTTGCTGTAGACCAAGATATGGTGGACTTTCTGGGCTGTAATAATTTCACAAAGGTGTTTCCAAAATAAAGGACATCTCTAAGGAAGAGCATTTAGGAGTAGAAAGAGTTGCTGGAACTCATTATTCCTATTAGATTTGGTATTATGAACAGCTATATTGTTCAGTAACACCAAGCTGCATGTATTTCGACTACAAAGTGAGTACAAAGTGAACACTTCTGGTTCATGTTGAGTTTCTAATCCACTAATACCCTCAAGACTTTCTCAGGATGCTCTTAACCCATCCATTGCCCAAACTGTGTTTGTGCTTGGGATTTCCCTGACCCAGCTGCAGTATCTTGCACTTCACCTTGTTGAATTTCATGAGGATCATATAGGTCCACTTCTCAAGTCTATTGTGGTCCCTCTTAATGTCAACCTTTCCCTCCAGTGTATTGGCTGTACCACATAGTTTGGTGTAGTTCACAGAATTCCTCAGAGCACACTTAATCACCCTGTCCATGTCACCAACAAAGATGCTAAACAGTGCCTGTCGTAATAACATCCCCTGAGAGACACTTGTCACTCATCTTCACCTGGACTTTAAGCCATTGACCACAGCTATTTGAATGCAGCCATCCAGCCAGTTCCACCACATGTTCCATCCATCAAATCATCATCTCCTCTATTTAGAGACAAGGATGTCTTGTAGAACGGAGACAAATGCTACGCACAAGTCCAGATTGATGTCAGTTGCTGTTCCCTTACTACCAGTGCTGTAGACCCATATCTCACTCCAGTTTATAGAAGGGAGAGGAGGTTCTTTTTAGTATATGTATACCCAACGTGAGATTAAGAAACAACGGTTCAAATGTTGGTCCAACAACAACCAATTACAAATCTTAATCGGGGAGGTGGGGAGGGGGAGGAAGGACACTATTAAGAATTAAGGTAACGGGGAAGGAAAGGAGGGCGATGGAAAAGATAGGAAAGAAGAAGCAAGGAGTCCTTATAGGAAGCAAGAGGGAGATAGTCACCATCATGGATCCAGCGTGGTTCATAGTTCAGGCTTCAGTAGTGGTGGGTCATCGGGCGTTGTTCCGTTGAGGAGGATGGTGACCACAGCAGTGATGGCAACTTTTCAGTGGTAGTACCAACTTATAAATAAGTCCAAAGTGGTCGAGTCAGCTCTCTTTGGAGTGACAGCTCAAATCCAAAGTGATTGAGTCAGCTCTCCTTGGAGTGGCAGCTTCTGGGTCTGGAATCTCAGCAGAAACTCTTTTGTTTCTATCTTCCTGGCCTTGCCAGCAGATAAGAGGGAGCAAGGAGGTGCCAACTTGTATCTCGCCTTCACAGGATATAGAGGTGTCATACCATAGTCTCCCATAGCAAACAGGAGTCATTTGGTCACAGGCTAGGTTTTCCGCCAGTAGACAGTCCTGAGCACTATCTTCTAAAGGTAAACAGCTTCAAAGAAATGTAAAATTGTCCACACAGTATGTTGCTTGCCAAATGACAACACCCATCTCTCATCTCCTGCAGTCTTATCACAAGAAATACCACAAGAAAGCAAGCTTTGAGCCAAAAAACAAAAACAAAAACAAAAACAAACAAAAAAAAAAAAAAAAAAAAGAAGGATTCATACAACCCATTGTAGCCGGCCACCAGATTTGTCACAAATTATTTGCCCTTAGTGAAACAACACTGACTGTCACGAATCACATTTCTTTTTTCTGAGGATAACTAATTTTTTATCATGGTCTGGAGTTGTTTTACTCTGTCTCCCATTCAAATGGGAAATTTCTGAATCTTCTATTCGTGTTAAAATGCATGTAAGTTCTTTGCTTTGAAATGTTCAGGGTTACTACATCCATAACTTAGCTCAAAAGGCTATGAAGAGACAGTTCTACTCAGTGAAGTTCTACTCAGTGAAATTCAGGTTCCCCCCCCATAATGCAGGGAAGAAAGTATTTTGTGAGAGAAAAGTTAATGAGTTAAGATGATCAAAACTGTCATTTTCCAGCTCAGCCATAATGAGGGCATTAAGAGATGTGATTTGGTGGTGGAAGTTGATGAGTCATGTTGACAGTTGGACTTGATGATCTTGAAGGTCTTTTCCAGCCCAGATGGTTCCATGATCCTATGGATGTGAATTACCCATTGTGCTTGCTTCAAGGGACAGCCTTGCCATTCCTGTAGAGATGAAGCTGCAAAAGCCATATGTCTGTTACCTAATTCACTGCACAGGATCCTCCATTAATTTAGGTAATCTGCCTCTTTAGTGTCTCTGTACTCACTTTGTAGTCGAAATTCATGCAGTTTGGTGTTACTGAACAATATAGGTATTCATAATACCAAATCTAATAGGAATAATGAGTTCCAGCAACTCTTTCTACTCCTAAATGCTCTTCCTTAGAGATGTCCTTTATTTTGGAAACAGCTTTGTGAAATTATCTGAATAATAGTAAAACCAAACCAGAAGATGGGGGTGAGAAGCCTGAAATTTAGAAGTAATGGTTTACTTCCCGTAATTATGTATAACCTTAACATAAACAAAGCAAGGTAAAGCATTTTAGGTTAATTACTGAGAAAAAGGAAGAAAAGCACAAACTTAAGTTTCTTTAAAGGCAGCCTTATTTCTCTTATCACTCTAATTTGCTTGTCAG